AACTTGTAAAAATATATTTTTTAAATGTAAATTATAGACAAGATGTGCCAAAAAAGTTATTAGTCTGACTCTTCCTAAAATATGACTAAATAACCAAAAGATCAAAATTTATCTTTAAATCACTCTTGAATAAGCTGAGAACTTTTTAGCACCATTTTACAAAAAAAAAAAAAAAAAAAAAAATCAGATATTGCTGAGATAAAGGATCTGGCTGAATTTAAAACAGAAGATTAGTATTAAAAATCAAATGACTTCTTGTTATTACTACAAATTTTCTTACCAATATCATAATTAGATAATATAAACACAAAGAAAAAAACATTCTGAAAAGTTAGAAAAAAATGAATTATTAAATATCTAGAAACTGTGCATTGCCATGACTGTTCTAAGGAATATATTGGAGTGGTTTCCCTTGCCTTCTTTAGTTTTAAATTCAGAATTCTCCCCCAAGATTGGTTAAGAAGCAAGACAGCAGAGCCCAGTCTGGCTTGCTATTTAAAAACCTATAAAAAAGCAGGGATGAAAGTGGATTTATAACTTTCACAAGAGCTAGAAAATTGTCTCTGAGAATTTGAATTCCATTGTTTTTCCAGTCTTCATGCCATTAACAGTTATTAGCAAAATGTTTCTTGTTTTCACAATCATATTTCAATCTGTGTTCTAAAGTCATAACAGGCAGAAAATGAAGAGACATTTTTAACTGAGTAGTTTTCCCCAGAGCCAAACTGGAAGAACAGATCAATGTCAAGATGAATTAAATATATTGAATTCCTGAACCAAGAATTTTTTTATACATTTGTAGAAATTAAGACAACAAAAGTTACCAGAAAATTAAAAGGAAATGTTATTCAAACTATATCATGATTGTATATTAAAAAGTTTTGTGCCAAAAGTAAACATTTTTGTTGATACTGAGTTACTTTAATTTGATGACCCTGGTCCAACAAAACATGAGTAGGTTATTGTCACTAGTGTTAAAAAGTTCTTAGAGTGGGGATTTCTGACAGGGGGAGGAGTATATTTTCTTGTTTTTTATTTACAGAATTTGTAGCCTATCAGGAGTATAAAAAAAAAACAACACTCCTCTATAAAAATTATCAATGTAAATGTATATGGAAAAGAACGAAGTTATATTATTTGGAATGCAACTTTTGAGTCAGACAATGTTGGAGAAGTGAGGAATGGCATTATGTCATATGGTGAAAAAAAAATGTATTGGTCATAAAAGGTTGCGAACCACTGTCTTACAGTGATAGTAAGAATGTCAGGCCACTGTTATTCAGTTTATTATTAGTGAGTGTTCTATGAATCCAACTAAATGACAAAATTAGTTCCTTAATTAGATTGCCAAAAGGATCATCTCTTTGACTATCTTGGTCAACAGCTTAAAACAATAGAAAACAAGATTAAATTGCTGTACCTTTTTAATACATATTACTAGGAGTTACTATATAAGAGTTAATTAATAAATATCAAGTAAGGTTTCTAATTCTATAAAATAAATTTTAAAATTTATTTCTCTTCAAAATTACAGGTTTATTTTTCAATATAATCCACCATTTTAGTGATACTCAGTTTTTTCAACCCCCCCCTTTTCAATTTTCACTTCAATGAAGTTTCTGGTTTACCTTGATCCAATTGCACACAAATTTAGCATCATATGAAAAATGCTGACCTTTCAAATTTGAGAACCACCACAAGTCTGAGGGTACCAAATCGAGACTATAGACATTCACTATTTATGTTATTTGTAGACGACAATGCTGCCTTGCATTGGTGTAATGGGCTTATTTTAGAGATGCATTATGAGTGCTTGCAAGGTTGCAGAATACCTTGCCATTTCCTTTAGCAGAAATTCCCTGTGAATAACTCCCTGATCACTGCCTGGACATAGCACTCATGATTAAAGAAAGAACATTATTACTCAGGCAGACAGTCACGCTAAGCATGTTTGAACAGGATGTTACCTACTACCAAATACATTTTAAACAAGTTTCTATCTTCCTTCTTAGTGAGTTCATGTGGTAGGAGATCTAACACCAGATCAAAACGAACTATAAGAAAAATACACACATGCACAAAGGATTTCTTAATAGATAATAAACAACATCTTTGTGGATCAAAATTTAATATAGTCTGATGAAAGTGTTTTGGATTTTACAAAAATGATTTCATTTGTTATGATTATTTGAGTAATGACCAAAGTCTGTTCAAACGGACTTAGACATTAATATTCATATGAAATGAAACCTACCTACAATACTCTTTGCACTTTATCAATAATAGTTTGAGATGTAGATTGAGATAAACAACAAATAAATGAGTTCAGACAAATTTCTACTTTCCTTTTTTGATAACCTAACCAAAGTTTTTAAAATATTCTTCAAATTCATGAAATATAACCATGATAAACAAACGTGTACAATATTTTTTTTTCTTTTTAAATAAGATTCAAACTTTTATTTCAGAAAATATAAACTATTTTATTTTGTGGATAAGTAGATAATTTAAATTTTAATTTAATGCGTACTTTTAATACGTTGGAAATAAGTAACATTCACAAGTTTTTTTTTGGCTTTTTTTTTTATTAGAAATAAAAGTAAAACATATGTAACCATTTGCCACCCTACAAAAAAAAAAATAGCATTATCCAAATACGTTGAATTTTTGACTGAAATGAAAGCAAATATTCAATTACTTTTTAGACTAGAGTCAAACGTTAAAAAAAAAAAAAAAAGCAAGTTTCATCCTAAATAAATGCAAAATACAAATGTGTGTGTGTGTGTATTTGCTACCAGCTTCAAGATAAAGGTTAGATATCAACCTTATCTTTTTAATTTTGTTGATGAAAGTTAGTTATAGATAAAAATAAAATCTAAGTACAAGAATAAATTATTAAAATAAACGTTTATATTTTTTCATCGAGTATTTTTTAAATCTTTATAAAATCTAAAATTAAAATAAAGTTTTGTTTCTGTTTTTTTAGAGCATCACCATTTTTTTTTTTTTTTACTTAACATTTCAATTTCATGAAATAGTCTACTTACACTATTATCCGTTTTTTAAATACTACGGATAGTCATATTGGTTTTTTTTAAAAAAATACTTTTAAACTAAGTCACAAAAACGATATGTTGGAAATTGAAAATCACAAACATTTGAGACATTTTTCAATTAATTCAATATTTTTTTTAGATTTTCATTACAAATTAAACTTTAAAGTACGAAAAATTGGAGCAGAATAACCCCCGTTCTATGTAATTTATACTTTCAAAAAAAAAAAAAAAAAAAAAAAAAAAATACTTTTTGAAGCACGTTTTACTTATTCAAACAAAATTATGTCAGTGGTATAAAAAAACTGAAGTTTAAAAATAAAATGATTTATTTCTAAAAAAGAAAAATAGTTTTTATCGTTAAAATAAGAGTTAGTTAAAACCTAGGTTTTCATTACAAGCTGAAAAATGAAGGTTACCATCAGTGATGATGAATTTCCTTTTTATGCGATGTTGTTTTTTTCGTAAAAGCAATGTTAGTGCGGATGGGAATCCATAATATAAAACGGCCACAGAACAACTGATAATAGAAAATTAAATGGTACTTTACTACGCAAAGCATACTTTTTAAATCTTTAGCCTTTTTCAGATAATGGTGAATTTTCAAAAACAAACTTCAAGGTATAATTTGAATTTTTTCATACATGTTTACCTTTTATCGCAATCGAATCAAACTACGGAGACTTAAAATGAGAAAAAAATATCAATATTTCGATAAAAATAATAAAATTACATTTACAAGTTCAATTAATAATTTTTACTCCGAAAACTTCCGGTTTGTTTTATTAAAAAAGACAATAGACTAAAAATAAATACAATTTCTTTCAATAACCGAATTCAATAACTAGTTAATTTTGCCATTATGCACGATTTTTAAGTACCATCGTTTAAAAAAAATATAACTTTTTTATTTTTTTATTTTTTATATTTTCATTGGATTAAAGAAAAATGATGTGTACAATTTAGTAAAATTTAAAATTATTTCCCATTTGATCTCGGTAAAAGGAAACTTATCACGTGGAAAACTCAAACGAGCTATTGTTTAATTTACGGAAGGCCAAGTAACAAATAAAAAATATCTCTGTCATGTAAAGGTTTTTCCATTTCGAGATGAAATCATACTATTTTTATCACAGTAATGAAGTACAAAATCGATTTAGGAAATATTTATTTTTGAGTTCATAATATTTCAAGCATTGTTTTTGGTAAGAATAGTCTATTTAATGGCGAAAACGAATATTATTAAGGTTAGTTTCGCAGTTTGCTGACTGCTAGTGAGTTCGATGCTTATTAGCGCCAATTTAAAATTAAAAAAATTGCCTGAAAAATTTCGCTTAAACTAGTTTCACTTCTTGTAAGATGTAAACATTTTTTTAAAAAATCGCACTATCTTTTTTAAATAAATAGACATTTCAATTTCATTTAATGATTTAAAAAAACTAAAAAGAAATGAAAAGTATTTATTTTTATTCTAATTTGGGTTGAATTTTTTTGTGTATTTATATTTTTTATTTATAAAATTGCAAAAAGAAAATAAGAAAAATTGTCAGATCAAGATGTTTTTCTCTAAATTTTTTACTATCCTTTTGTTTGATTATATACGTAACATTGCGAAAAATAAATTAAGTTCTAAGAGTTTCACACACACACACACGTATGTATATATAAACATACACACAAACAGGTCAAAATTATAATATAAATAACGAAAAATTTTAATTATAAGAAAATAATTTTTCCTGTTCGATTTGAGTACGTCTTATGATCACGTGATCAAACATACTGCCTGATTAGCGATTTAGTTTCTCTGCCTACACAGATTGTATGGTAGTTCTTTCTTTTCTCTAAAACTTCAATTTCTCATATCACTATTTAATATATTCAAATGATCTTGAGTAATAACAACCACATTATTATATACACACAAAAAGTTAATTAAAATTTCACTTACCGGGGTGAACTGTCTTCTCTCCTGGCTCGGTATGGACTAGGTGAGCGAGATCTGTACCGTTTCCTTACAGGAGGAGACACTGGACTTCCACCTCTTTGGTTGTGATACCCGAAAGATGCCGGTCTTTCTGCAGCATAAGCCCTTGGAGGGTCGGCATAGGCCCTCGGAGTGTCCGCGTAACCACGATTGTCGGCATAAGCCCTTGGAGGGGGTTCAGGAGAAGGAAAAGCTCTGTGATTTCTCTTTCTATTGCGACTTCGTCGACCAGATACCTGTGCTACGGCATGTTCACGGCCTTCCCCTCGGTGATGATACGGAGGACTTCGACTATAACCTCTATCGATCCTTATGGGTGGGGACGGAATTTCCGCGTAGGCCCTCGGGGGTTCAATATAGGAAGAAGCCCTTGGAACTTCAGCATAAGCTTTAGGAGGATCACAGTACCTTCGGGGAGGAGACGCATCTACATAATGTGGAGGTCTCTCATGTCGATCCAGACGGTCGCGATCCGAAGATGATCTTGGTTGTTGGCTAGGCTCAGGTGGTGGCCCCTGTTGGTGATGAGGATGAGGTGGTTCAGGTGGCGTGTACCGACGACTTTTTTTGCTTTCTTTCCGACTCGGTACCTGGTACGATGGACTTCGGCTATGGCTTCTTCTTGGGTCGAGCATGGCCGGCGAGTTACTGTGGCTTCTCTCCGTCATATACATTTTGATTGCTGTGGCCGGAGATTGACCACGTTTGTCACGTTCTCGGTCCGAGGTAACGCGGCTTGTCGAGTGACTCAAGCCTGGACCACAGTCAATCATCTGAGGCGATTCAAGGTTCGAGTCCGATGATAATTCATCATAATCCACAAGAGGTTTGCTCGAGGAGCTTGATTTTTCTCGCTCACGTATCCGTTTCTTCTTTTTATGTTTTTGTTTCTTGTGTTTCTTTAAACTTGGTGGCACTAAATGTGCATATGCTCGAGCATCGAACTCATCATATACTTGGTCTCTGTGGCTCCGAGTGCCTGGCATCATTTCCAACACTTAACACACACACCACCACCACGTTGTGGCTCTTTAGTTTTGTCCCTAGCTGTACTTGTTGCACATGACACCTAACAAGATGGCTTTCAATCTCTTCTTCACTCTATTGCTTATTTTTTTTAGAGTAATAACACAAAAACGCACAGAGAGAGAGAGGGAGAGCGGAAAGGAGTATACCGGTCGAATTTTCTGGAATATGGGCGCTTATTTAATTCTAATAAACCCTACTGTATGGAAAACTAATTTCCAGTTTAAGGTCTCACTAAAAACGCGCAAATAATACGCGCCAATCTTTCTAAAATTATTATATTAGTACAAATTGAAAACCACGTCAGGCGGATAATAAAGCACAATACAACGGTTAAGAAATTCACAATAAATTTTCACCGGTATTTCGATAGATTCACGGTGTTTACTGATAATATATATTTCATCAGATTTAGTAATCCATAAACTAAATATTACAAGAGTAGATGATTGAAATATGTGGATTTTCTAAGGGAATTTTATGCGATTATACTGGCTATAGCTATGGCTGTATACACTAGTCGCCATTTTACATTGAGCTTGTTAACTCACAACTTAGCGAAGGATTGTGGGTAGAACGCATAAATTTATGACGTATTACGCATACGCGAAAACAATTTTTAACTCAACCGGAATTTCATTAAAGCGAATTCAGTTTCGTGTCCTGATATAAAAAGAACAGGTTTGAATTATTTTATTGATATTAATGAGCACAAACGAATATGAATCATTTGTCAATGACTAGGTGAAAGAAACAAATATCATTGACATATAAATGTCAATAATTTCACTTCGTTTTGATCACCTGATGATTTTAGAAAGAATTACGCTTACTACTACTACCACCACAACTTGAAAAAAAAAAAACCTCTCGTAAATTCTTTCTCTTTTTGAAAAGTGAAATTTTAAACCAATACTGATTTTATTTGCTTTATAGATTTAGTTTAATACAAATTTTAAATATCTGTCGTGATATTTCTTACACCAAATTTGTATTAGTGCACTTTTGCCCCCCCCTCCACCTCTTTATATGAAAATTTCTTATGTTTGATAGATTTATTATAAAGCTTTAACATAAAATATTACATTTTTTAAGTCAACTACTAAATACTGGGTCACTGATAAAAATTTTATTGCTTTTTACAACAGATTTTAAAAAATTTAATACAAGCTGACAGGTCCCTCACCGCCACATAAAACTAGCATAATTTAAATAAAAATTAAAACAAAATTCTCCTATATTAAAAAATTAAGTATAGGCAAAAACATTTTTTTAAATCATTAAACATTTCTAAAGGTTTTTTGGGGTTTTTTTTTACGTTTTATTTGGAAAATTCGCCTCCCAACCTAATTTAAATAAATACGCAACCTACATATTAAAAAAAAAAAACACGTGACTACAGAGAAGTATTTCAACTTCCGTAATTTGCTTTGTGTTTCTGTTTTGGAAATTCAGCAATCTCACCCCTCTCCCTCCAAGTTTGCATTGTTCTTCCCCTATACGTGTGATAAAATTCTCAAATTATTCTTTTAAAAATATTACTCTTTTAAAAGCAAGGACTTGAACAAGAAATTTTACTCTTACTTTTTTTAAACAGTTGAATAAACAGTGAAAAACGAATTTTTGTTCAAAACTTTTTTTTCTTTTTGCATAATTAGCTATAATTTTTATGAACTCATACTGAATTTATTAAACATGGTAATTTTTTTTTTAAATGCACCATCATTGTAAGTTTGAGTGATTTAAAAAAAAAAAAAAAAAGCAGGCAGAAAATTACAGTAAAGCCAATTTCTCCCTAGCTTTTTTTTTTTTTTTTTTTTTTTTTTTTTTTTAACAAAACAAAAGAGATATTCGAGAAACGAATTTTTAAAAGAAATTCTTACAAACAACGACTATGCAATTCTTAATTTTTTTTACTCATTTAAATTTTTAAATTTAAGTTTACTTTAAAAACTTAAATGACGTCTCAGTTTTTTTAACTGAACTGATAGCGCTAAAAGTTGTAAGAATCGAACACCTGATTGTAGTGAAAAGGTTAGTAATTTTGTCTTGCAGGCTGTTTATAATTTGATCACTAAATCAAAAGTGGAGGTGGTAGAGAGTTGTGCCATTTTTTTCAAGTAAATTTAAAAATCGTTTAGTCTGAAATCAAGACGTCAAGAAAGTTATCTCCCTTGCGACTGATCCCTTAACAAATACTGTACTATTTTAATGAGTCCCTCTGAAAACTGTCTTGTAGAAGGAAGCATGGACTTTGAAAGAAATAAGTTATCCCAAGTTGTTCCTATTTATTGATACAGTGACCATCTATTAAACTATAGAAATACATCATTTTTTTAATTGTTATTAATTTCGGCTAAAAGAAAAAAAAGACTCAACTGATGCCATATTGTACTTAACTTTCATTTTCAATGTTCCAATAAATTATTACAATTTATATACTGTGAATAGATAACACACATTACAAAAATCTTTCAGACCATTTTAAAAAAAAATTCATTAAAATGCTTTCAATTATTGAAAGCATTTTAATGAAATTTTTAAAAAATTTCAGTTAAAAAATTTTGTCCATTTTTTTTTTTTTGTAATTTGCAGATTTAAGAATTTAAAAATTATAGTATTTTTTATACTTATGAACTTAATAGAAGTTTTAACATTTTATGTCCTGGCAATTTCAATAAGGGACAAAAATAAATTTGATTTTAGAAAAATATAAGTAAAAGACTAGTGGAGTAGTGGATTGGTAAATAGGATGGTATCTATTTGCATATGTTAAGTAGAAGAGATATAAAGTAAATAGATAAAGTAAGAGACAGGCAGAAGTTGACTACTGATCATAAAACAACACAACACAAATGGAAAGAATTTTATGTGATCATGTGAATAATGACATATACACTGCTGGCAAAAATCTTAAGGCAAATGAAAATAAAGATAAATATACATTTTGCCTTGTTAGACTCAACTACTTACTTGAGTAGAGCTCTAAAAATAAAAATAAGAAAAATTAAAAACTTTTTTAGCATTTAATCAGGAAAATTTGAATACTGGGAAATTAGACTAAATACTAGCTGGTCAAAAGTTTAAAACCATACCTAGAAGAAGTCCTAAATACAGTAGTAAATGCCCAACAAGACATCTCAGTAATGAGTTGCATGGTTATCATTCTGAATAACTTCAAAAATTCACTTTGGCATGGTCAGTATAAGCATCTGCGGAAGGCTGGCTGGAATGTTATTCCAAGTAGTGAAGGTGGTTTTGCTGTTTGGAATTGACATCCATTTCTATAGACTTCCCTTGCCATTCACCCACAAACATTTTTGATGGGGTTCAGGCCAGACAAATATACTGGATGATCCAAAAGAATCAGATTATTTGCCATCAAAAAGTCCTTTGTTCTATGGGCATTATGAATTGCAACATTTTTATGCTGAAAAACTAGTCATTTCCACACAAGTGAGGGATGTCGATAAAGATGATCTCTCCAACTTGCCAATTTGATGCTGCAGTTTGATGTCCCCTATATAAACTGAAGCTCCATTGTTTTTTGAAATGATATAATTGACCCTGATCATGATTGAACCTCTTCCACTGTATCATGTAGAAAATATGTCCAGTGGGATATCATGCCAGTAATGTTGAAGCCATCTGGACCATCCAGGTTAAAATTTTTTTCATCAGAGTACAAAACCTTCTTCCACTTTTCTATTCCCATGTTTGATGCTTCTCAGCAAATTTTAACTGAGTTGTTTTGTCTTGTAGAAGGAGGCATAGACTTTGAAGACATTTGAATTTTTAAAGACTTCTCAGAGATGCCGTCTTATTGTTCTTGAGCTGAATTCTGTGTCCATAATTACCTTAATCTGGTTCAGTGATTGACTAGTGACTTGCCAGACAACCAGTCAAATTCTCCTGCTCAAAACCAAAATTTTTTTTGGCCAAGCACTTGAAATTTTCATTCCATATTCTTCAGGGTCTTTTAAGAAATTTGCAACAGCAGTTTTACTACATCCAATCTCACCAGTAATGACACATTGCAAGAGACCTTGCTTTTGCAGCTCAACAATTCTGCCATGTTCAAACTTTGTCATTTTTTTTAAACTTTTCCATGTTTTTACCTAATGTAACACGGGAGATACCAGTGGGAGATGTTGACTGTTAACACAAAGGACTAAATTTCATTACATTTTTAACAATTAAAGCTTTGTTTAAATATAGTCTTAAACTTTTAACCAGCTAATTTCTAATTTCCCAGTAATCAAATTTTCCCTATTAAATGGTAAAAAAGTTTTTAATTTTTGTTTCTCCTGTTCTTAATTTTTCAAAGCTCTACTCAAATAAGTAATTGAGTTTAACAATGCAAAAGGTATATATTGTTACTTTATTTTCATTGGCCTTAAGATTTTGGCTAGTAGTGTATATTGGTACCCCCCCCCCACTCCAAAAAAAAGCAATACCTAAGATTTTATGAGGCATTGACACATCTATTGATAACCTGATGTTTGCAAGATTTATGTAAGGTGGAAATAATTGTAATAAAATTACATGACGAAAAAATGCCTTTTTTAGATAATTTTTTAAACTACCCAGTAATCTTAAAAAATGAAACTATTTTAAGCATTTTAATGAATTTTAGGTACTTTGGTATTATAGTTTTATTTACAAAGATGCTTGTTGAGGAAATGTTAGAAAATTACGAATAAATTTTAAATTGAGTATAGTTAGTGCTCTTTATTTTATGAACATCAGTATTTACAAAAATTGGCACATATACACACAAAAAATTCAAAATTCTTTTTAAAATACTGGGGGTTGCTGAATTGTAGTAAGCTTTTCCATTTATTAGTAAATATAGTTTTCATTAACAATATCATTCGATCATTACAAATTAATATACAATTTTAAAAGTTAAAAATTATTCTAATTAAAATTAAAAAAAAATGAAAACAATTATTGTAAAAATTAATTCATCAAAGACAAGACTTTTCTTACGACAATACTGTCCATAATATATTTTATTCATAGTTCTAGTTCCATGTGCCATGTCTAATGGATGAGCACTGGTAAAAAATGGTTGCTGAAGACATTAGGTTTATAAAGTGGGTAAAGGTGTTAGTTAGATCCAGTAAGATGACCCAAAGAGTATGAGTTCAATACCTGGTTAAGGCAGTGGAGAACTTGGAAAGGGGAATTAACAGGAGATAACTGATAGCTGACATCCATTAGACATGGCATGTGGAACTAGAACAGTCTACCCCAACGAGTGAAATAAAGGGTTTAGTTTGACATTCCAACCACCTGAAGAAGACCTGAGTGTACAACGGCCGAAACGTGATAAATATGGCAACAAAGATGAGAATGATAGTGCAAACAATGTAAATAGTGTACTTCATCTCAGAAATATAGACTAATCTTTTCATATAATATTTTATATATATATATATATATAAAGAAATATAGTTTTAAGGTGTGATATATTTATGGGATAAAGTGCTCAATATCAGAGATAGAGCATATGTAAATATATTTTTATATTTTTTATATATATATATATATATATATATATATATATATGGCAGAAACTGTCCATAATGGTTATTGTCCCAAGTACTTTCAGCCAATTCATTAACCATTTACAAGGGGTCCATTGTTAATGTTCTTCAATGTACATGTTCTAAGGT